CTGACTGCCCAAGCAGGATTTCCTAAACAATCATCTAGAATCCGCCAGAATGACTACTAGGTTTACTTAATTATTTAGGTTTGGCAGATTTGCTTAATTTTTTTGCCCTAATTGCGGGTTCAAATCCCGCCGAATGCCGCGAGTTTTTCACAATTGGGTCAACTAAATTTAGAAAATCTGCCAAACTTCTTAAGTAATTGTATTCTTCTGAGCTTTCGACTTCACACAAGAGGCCATCGCCAGAGAAATGAGAAAACAGCAAGCGGTGACATGTTTTTGTAATTTAGCTACGAGTAAATGGGGGTGGGGGAGGGGGTGGCGTTCTTTATTCGTCTATGCTCTCTCATCGTGTTGCCTGTGCGCGCGTTCTTGGTACCTAAGGCAAGCATATTTGCTTCTATTCATATTTTATGTGTTGGGACTCGCACAGTGCTGGCGTATGACAGTTGTTTTTGCCGGCCTGATATGTCACAGGGACTCACAATGGCGTAATCAAAAAGCAGCGAAATAGGTGATTGTCGGTTGTTGTTGACTATGGCGGAATCTAATAATCCATTAATATCTGGTCGACTTATCCGCGCCATACTAGGAACCCAGCTGGGCTGGGTCTCGTCTTGAAGTCATGCACAGCCTGAAGTTGCCTAACAAGGGCAACAGTGAAGACCTTCGAGGCAACGTCGATGAAAATTACGTGACGTTAGTTCTCATACCCTGTCTTATCCCATTTGAAGACGGGCAAGGATGCCTCAGCCCCAGTCGTCAGGGACGAGCTCATCTTCCCAAGTTTGCACAGTCAACTTTTAGTGCAGGGCGCTAGTGTCGCCACAAAACTGGTTGATTACGGTAGGGTGTACCATCCTCTCTGGGTGACTGGTTGATGTGCAGTTTGTGTTTTGCATCGGCGATTTCTTCCTCAGAGGGGAGCGTGTGGCACTGCGTAGGATGAAGGAAAATAAAACTGCTTCGGACGAAAACGACGGCGAACTGATCCCAGCCCGTAATGGCGAACCAAATTCAGGGGGTAGTAAGAATAGATAGTTAAGTCTGACTCTTAATGGTCGTGGTTAAACAGATAATTGAAGTTGCAGACATCTATGCTGTAACCCTAAATTTATTTCTAAAACCTAAACGCCTAAAGCTAATCCATATTCCTAGTAATAAGTCGAATGCTTATCTTAACAGTAGTACTTGAGGGAAGCGTGACAGAGAATGAGAAGAAGGGAATAGGGTTAACTTAGGTCTACCTACGTGACCTAAATAGGCATTCCTTAGAAGTCAAACTGGGTGGGGCCATATATCCGATCGTAACCGAGAGTGCTTCTTCGGTGTCGCCTCTAGCAGTGAATACGCGACGCATGCCAGACTGAAATCTGATCAAGATACCCTCTCCCACGATTTGCATTTGGAGCTCCAGATCCTGAGTTCTCCTCAATATTTATTATCTTTTGGTCCGCGATTTTGATAGCGGTGCTGGGTGGATACATACGTTGAACTTTTTAAACGCTTTCTATTGTCCCAGAGTCATTGCTTATAGAAAAAAGAAATAGCCACATTTTGTCTCCATAAAAGGCAGAATACCACCAAGGCGTTGACAATTTCCCACCCT